GCCCGCGCTGAACACTTGCAAGGCGCGTGCGCGGCAGCCAGAAGGTGCTCGCCCTCCTGCTCTGGCCCCAGCTGCAGCCGCATCCTGCGGGCCCGCGCTGCAGCGGCCGCCGCCTCCGCCTGCAGCTTAGTAATGCGTGCCTCCTGCATGCACCACCTGCCTTTCGCGGCCGGGGCACGCTGGACGCCATTCAGGTCAGGACCATGCCCGGGTGCCATTTTAAGTGTGACAGATGCCCCTTGAGGCCGGAGAGCTGGGCTGGGGGTCTCCAGAGATCCAACGCATTGAAAAAATCAAGACGGATGTTTTTCGCAAATTCGGCCCCTAGGGGCCCTCGCCATGCCTCGGGACCGTCAGAAAACGACTCAGGATGAAAAACCGGTCCTGGGGAATGGGTCTAGACTTCTGGGGACCCCGCATTGAAAAAATCACGGCATCGGATCTGTGGGTGTATGGGTTGCTGGGAGCCCGGCCGCGAGGCCACGGCAGATCGATGACCGCATTGCCAGGGGACTCAAAATTTTTCAGCTCACTTGCTTGGGGTTGCACGTACAGCTTGTTGAGGGCTCCCTTGCAGAGTCTGAAGACGATGCAGGGCCCGAAGCAGCTCCCTGAGGCACAGGATGCCGATGTCGCTGGGCGGCAAATCCGGCATCGTCGAACGATTCTTGCTCCAATGACGGGGTCCGCCCCTGGGCCCTCCATCAAGGATGGGTCTGGGAGTTGCGGATAAGACTGAGGGGGCGGGCGCGGGGTGCGTCGCTTGGTGGGTCGCGGGCGGGTCACGGGCGAGAACGACTACGACAAGAATGCCACAACGTGACAACAGCAACGCAACAACACATCACACCGCGGAACTCCTCTTCAGCCACGCGCCCCAGGACAACGACTTACCTTTCGGCCCTCTCACGCGGATAATTGGTCTGAGCAGCGACTGTCACCCCAATGTCGCGCGATCTTGATAGGCTTTAGATCGGCCAGATACGAGGCTGGTAGAAGCCGTTTGCCTAGTTCCCGAGGGGTTCTGAGGGACATCCAGGGAGGCAAGGCAGTGTGAAGATGACGTCACGCTGTTGGAACCCCTAGAAGCTGGAAGCGTCAGAGCGACCTGGGGCCTCAGTGCATCGCCCGACCCGAGGAGCATCTCGCTTATAGCTGCCATTTCGGACAGCACGGATTGCACGTTGAGGAAGGATGGTTGTGAGGCTGGCTGTCTGGCTGCAAATCAGGATGAGTCTTCGGGGTTCCAGGGCCCAGGGCCAGAAGGAATTATAGAATGTCCATTGGTCAATCATGAATTTCCATTGGTGGGCTTACTGTTGGGGCCAGCGCCCTCCCGCAAATGTAAAACACATAGCGTTTTCAACGAGCACGCTGCCGCACGGCCGCCATTCATTGCCCCCTACATTTGTCGCCACTACTCGCCGTTATCGGAGTTCGCCGCCGAGTGCCTACCACCGACATCCGCCACAGCTCGGTACCCTGTTTTGACTCGAACCAGTTTGGTTGATGATCGTGCGGCGGCGTTGTACTACCTGGGCGCCCCAGTCCTCGTTTTTAGCTGTATCCAGTTCCTGCCATGCCAAATATTATGACAGATTAATGAGGTCCGGTGTCTGGCAACGCTGTTATTGCAAGTCAGCGATTGACAGCATGCCAGCGTTTTCGATTTCTGCCATGGGCGAGGTTAACATCTACACTGCGGACCAATGCCGCGGAAATAACTGTGCGCAGTATTATACTTGCGGTCGAATGGCAAAGGGCTAAAAGTGCACCACCAGCGTCTGAAGTTGCAGGGCTACGTTGTTCAATGACTCAGATCTGCCTGGGGGGAGGGGCTTCGGGATAGTAGAAGAAGGCATGTTGCACCTGAGTGGACACACCGACTCTAGCTTTGGCGACAAGGGCAAAGGTGAGATGTCCACAGGCACCTTTGTTCCGAGCGGTATCAGCCCGCACAATTTTTGGCGCAATGAGAAATCGGTGGTGATACGTGTTTCTTCGACACAAACCAAGAAGATGAGGCAACGGCAGGGGGAATCAGAGCTGAGGCTGCATGCCTCAATGCCAACGGTTGGCGCATCCAGACCACACGGCCCAGCTAAGTGCCCATGGTAGGGTTTTGTACAATTGGCCATGTTTGCGCATGCGCTCTTGCGTGTGCGGCTTTCTCCCCATTCCCATTTTCCAGAACCCGTGCTCATCATTGTCACCACTCTCTGCAGCGCCACTCGTTTTCATTCTTCACCTATTACGTTTTTACCCGACCTGAAATTCCAGAGTCGATCATAATCGGGCGTCAGCCGCTTCCCCACGATGCTGACTTTGCGAACTGTGCTGGCAGGACTTTCAGACGGAAGCTGGGTTTGGACTAGAGTGGAGGCCCATGCCAAGAAACACCCTGTTTGCATCCGGGGTGCCCTGGATTTCTTAGATTTCGATGGTTTTGCTGTGGAAGGCGTGACGTTCCCGTACCAAAAATCAATGGACGTCCTGGAGTCTCAGGGTTGGGTTTCTTGTGGAGTTTTTCTTGTAGACTGGCCTCCACTGTAGTGTCCAGCTGCCTGCGAGAAGACCCGTCATAGTGCCTGCGTAGCGGTACATCAGGAGGGAGGCTGAGTTGAATTCCCGCTCCGTGTCAGTGCTTTGCCTGAGCTGGCGCGGGTCGTGTGGTTTTCTGGGTGGCCGTTCGGGGCTCGTCGGGGGTCTTGAGGCAATCTTTGCGCAACGGTTCCGCCAAGCGCTCCCGAAGAGGCTATGTGGAGCCATCTTGCAGCGACTCTCCATCTCGCTGCGTAGGGAGAACTCGCGGGTTCGGTAGCAAATCATGGGAGCCTTGTGTACCCTTGAAATTTTGTCTTTAGCGTTGATTAGCGTCTGTGAGTGAAAGAGATAGCGCCGATTTAGCGTCGGTTAGCATCGATTAGCGTTTATTTAGCGTCGGTCAGTGTCGATTTAGCGTCGACTAGCGCCGAGTCGCAAGAGCCCACAATATGGTATGGAAGGCTCCCATGCGTTGCCACCGAACGCGGGCGGTGCTGATCACCGAGAACAAAATGACCCCTAACCTTACTAATACAATGAAGACGCGGCCTCATTGAGGTCCCCGTCTTCGCATGAGGGCTAACAAGTCTGGACGGTTAGGTTTGGTACATCTTCAGAACAGACCCCCTATCCCTAATGTTCCTGGCCCTCCTGACTGAGGTCGCCTCCCAAAGGGCTAGGGGTCCTTTTACGCCTAATCACGTGAGGCTTCCCCGGCGCCGACCAACGCACCCCGCCCCCGCACCCCCCCCCCCTCCTGCTGGGCAGCACGAGCGCCCCGTCACCCCAGGATGGGGGAGCAGGAGCCAGGCTCCGCCAGGGCGGGGGGCAGCATGCTCCATCCAGAGGCCTCCACGCGGCAGGTCCCTCTCCCGCAGGCCGGTGGCGGGCGGGCTCGGGTGGGGCGAGAGGCATTGCCTGGACGGGTCCCGGCCGGCCAGGCCGCAATGCGGCCGCCCGCCCCGGTCCGCCATAGGCGACCTCTCTTCCCCAACGATGACCCCGACAGCTCTGACGACCGGCGATGACCCCGATGGCCCCGACGACTACCCGGGCCCCCGACAGCTCCAGCGGACACCCACTTCAGCGCTCCGCCTGCGCTGCCATGTCGTCGGCGTCGCCGCCGCAACGGCCGTCTCCTCGCGGCCCACCTCTCTCGGCCCCTGGCCTGGCCGGTTCGTTTGCCGTTTTGTTCTCTTTCTTCCCTCCTCTTTCCTCGGCGTGCTCCCTGCATCCCTCCTTCCTCTGTCCTTCTTCCTCGCCCCCCTTCGCATCTCTCTTTCCCTCTTTCCTTCCTTCCCTCCTCTTCTTCCTTCTTTCCCTCTTCCCTCCTCCCTCTTTCCCAGTTTCCTCCTCCGTCCTCTTCTCTTCGTTCCCTCTGCCTCGCCCCCTTCGCCCCTGCTCCCTGCATGCCGTCGCCCCCCTGCCCCTTACCGCCTGCCAGCCTGCCTCGCCTTGCCGGCGCTGGCCTCCCGCCTGCGCGTTCCCCGTCGTCGTCGTTCTCGTCGTCGCCGTCGTCGTCGTCGTCGTCGTCGTCGTCGTCGTCGTCGTCGTCGTCTTCGTCGTCGTCGTCGTTGTCTTCGTTGTGGTCGTCGTCGTCGTTGTCCTGGTCGTCCTCGTCCTCCCGCACGTGCCCCTCCCATCTTACTGCGCAGCACAGACTGCCGGGAGCATGAGGCGCTAGCAGGGCTGCTGGCGGTTTCTGGGAGGCCCCACGCTCTTTATCGTGGAGAGCACAGGTGGGGCTTCGGTTTGTGGCGTAGGCGTGCCACTGCCAAGCCATGCGCCAGCGCAGGGCATCCTTGGGATTTATCGATGAAGCAGTGGAGTGCGCGCACAACCTTGCTCATGCCCGTCGGGGGGAGGAGGGGAAGAGACGTTCCAAAGGCGTCCTCTTGCCCCTCCTCCTCCGCCGTCTTCATCTCCCCCCTTGGTTCTGGGGGGCATCAGATCCAGGCGCTGGGCAGACTCCAGCAGTTCTCTCAGGGCCCCGAAACTTGGCCGGAGAGTTTCCCGCCTGTGCGAGGCTCCTCGGTGTCTTGTCTCCAGGAGGGAAAACAAACGCAGACACAATGGATCGGCGACTCCGAGGAAAATATGGGAAAATATGGGAAGTTGGGGGGAAGAGGAAAACCCCTAAAAAGAAAGGGAAACATAGGGGAATCCTGGGATTTGTGTCTGTTCATTTGTGTGTCCCTGGGCCTTTTAGGTCTAGCGACTCCTTAACCAACGCTTCCTCCGAGAGAGGCTGATCTGAACTGACAGGCCAGAGGCCTGCGCACTGGGCCTGGCAGCATTTTTCCCTGAGGAACAGCCTGGCGCCGCCACCGTCGTCGTCGTCGTCGTCGTGGTGGTGGTGGTGGTCGGCGTCGCCGTCGGGTTGACAGCCTTTGCCGTCGTCGTTAAGTTCATCGCCGTTGTCGTGATCTTCCCAGGTGATCCCCCCCACTTGGCAGGTCGACTTCTACCTGCGGGAGCCTCACCACTACACGGCGCGAGCCGGCGACAGGAAGGTCGTGGCTGGGGTCCTGTCCAGGGACGCTTTCGATGCCATGGAGAGGGAGGACGGCTGACGGCTGACGGCTGACGACGACGACGACGACGACGACGACGACGACGACGACGACGACGACGACGACGACGACGACGGTGGCGGCGACGGTGGGCCGTCGTGGAGGCAGAGGAGTGCGAACGGATGAAGAGGAGAAGGCGGAGAAGGCGTGTGGGGGAGGAGGCGGCGGATCGAGGAGGGAGGGGGAGGTCCGCGGAGAAGGGGAGGGAGGGATGAGGTCGACGGGATGATCGGGTGCAACGATATGGGGGGATAGGCATAGGGGGGATGCATCGACCCCCAATCGCCCATTGATCGTCGATAGGGGCCCGGTAGCCCCAACCTGCCCAGGAAGGTGCGGATTCACTATCGGAGGCCTCTCGCCGATCTATCGGCGATGTATCGCCGATTCCAGGTCGATGCATCCCCCCTATGTCAGTCCCCCCCTATCGTTGCCCCTCAGATGAGGAGGGAGGAGGGAGAAGGAGGTTCGAGAAGGGAGGACTTGCTTCTTGTGAGCGTTTAGGAGATTGTTGGAGATTCCAGAAGCCTCCAGATGCCCCATCGGGTACTCATGCGATCGCAAACATGGATCAGGGGGGCGTGGATTAGCGACGGTTCCCGTTTCCATTGGAAATCGGGGATTTCCGCCGCCGGACGAGGCGGCACCAGCCGCATGTTGGGGAGGGCACCTCCCCCTATCCATGGATTTGGCGACCGCGCGCCAAATCCATGGATCGCTAATCCATGTTTGCGCGCCTCCGAGAGAAGGGGAGGGAGGGATGAGGTCGACGGGATGAGTAGGAGGAGGGAGAAGGAGGTTCGAGAAGGAAGGATCTGCTTCTGTTGAGCGTTTAGGAGACTGTTGGAGCTTCCAGAAGCCTCCAGGGGCCCCATCGGATACGCCTGAGGAACCCGAGAACATCTGGCGACGCGAAGATGTTGCGGTCTCTTCCCTTGCAGGGGCAGTTTGTGCATGCACCTCGGGCAAATAACTAGTGACTCGGGATGGAGAGCTGGTTCTGGAGCTGGCGAACTGAAGGTCTCGGGTGCTGGCTCAGCGCGTCGCCCTTTCGCAGTAGGGATGGGGGCGGGGCGCGGGAGGGAGCGATGAGACGGACGCGGCGCAAATGCGGTCTGTTGGAGACACGTGGTGAGGAAAGAGGAGAGGAGGCGGAGGAGGAGGAGGAGGAGGAGGAGAACTTGTTTGGGGGGCGACTCCGCGCCTCATCGCTTCCAGTGTCGGACCCCAGAGGGCCTCCTGCGCAGGTGCCAGCTGCAGGAAGAAGGGGAGGAGGTGGATGAGAAGGAGGTCCGGAAACTTGAGGAGGAGGAGGTGAGCAAGGCAGAGGAGGAGAAAAGAGGAGGCGGAGGTGAGGAGGAGGTTGTGGAGGAGGGGGAGGAGAAAAGAAGGTTGAGGGGGAGAAGAAGGACGTGGACGTGCTGGAGGAGGGAGAGGAGGGGGATGAGAGCGAGAGAGGAGGACCGCCTGTCTTCGTGGCTGGGCCTGGGCCTCCCGTCTCTGCCCTCTCCTCTCTCTCTCTCTGTCGAGGCCACGGCCTCCACGCCATGCCTTCATGGGCACGGGCGTGCTCCCCGGGAGCACGCACGACTCCGGCGTTCGTTCGTTCGTTCGTCCTCTGTCTCTCTCTCCCAGCCCCGCCCTCCCCTGCCGATCCTCTGTCCCTGCTCCGTGTGGCGCAACTGTCGACCGCAGCCGTGCCAAAACAAGCACTGATTGCTGAGATTGTGGTCGTTTTCGCATTCCTTGTTTTGCCGATCGTCTCGGGACCTTGCCCCCCCCCCCCCCCCCGTTTCCCACCCCCATGGATTTGATCTTGGCTGTTTTTGGCACCTGTCTCAAGCAGGTGCTCCTCTCCAGGGCACATCTCAGGCGGCTTCTTCGACTCAGACTGGTGGAGGAGCCTCTCTGGTCAGACCGAAGCGTGCTGCACGTGATTGGCAGAACTTCCGCACTCCTCCGCTCCCTCGCTTCCTTGCCTCCCGCTATCTCTCTGTCTGTCTCTGTCTCTATCTCTTTGTATCGCTTTCTCTTTCTCTCTCTCTCTCTCGCTCTCTCTCTCTCCCTCCTTTTCCTCCTCATTATTACCTCTATCTGTTATGCGACTATATACACACATCTATAATTATATATATATATATATATATATATACATAAGTGTGTCTAGGTGCCCCTCCCTCCTCAATATTTCTGTCTCTCTGCCTTTGGATGTGCCTGCCAGTCTGTCTGTCTGTCTGTCTGTCTGTCTGTCTGCCTGTCTGCCTGTCTGTCTGTCTGACTGTCTGTCTGTCTCTCTGTCTCGTTCTATCTGGCTGTCTGTCTGTCTGTCTGTCTGCCTGTCTGTCTGTCTGTCTGTTTCTTTCTCTCTCTCTCTCTCTCCTGTTCCCTCTCCCTGTCGCGCGCAGAGATGTCACGCAGATCTGCGTGCTTCTTCGCATTCCGTCCGATCACTCCCTTCGCCCCCCCCCATTCTCTCCCATCCCTCTTTCCACTCCCCGCTCCTCCTCTCCCTCCCTTCCCTCCTCGTGCGTTCTCCCCCCCCACCCCCCCGCCCTCCCCGCTTCGCCCTCTCCTCCGCGCGAGCGGCGGTCCTGCGACGCCTCTCGAACAGGCGGCGTCGGCTCGGCCCGCGCAGAATCGCGGGCGGTTCCCCGGAGCCGGCAGGATCCCAGGCTGGCCTCGCTGCTGAACAAGTGTTGCCTCCGGAGCGCGTGCATGCTGTCGCTGGCGCTCGAGGCCCTGTGGCAGAGGTGACAGCTGGCCTCGCCTCCTGCCTGCCTCGTGACTCTCCGCTTCCTCCTCGTGCCTCCCTCCCTCCTCCTTCCCCTTGCCACCCCCTCTCTGTCCCGCCTCCCTCCCACATCCTGCCCCCGAGCTCCTCTCCCCGCGCGACGGGTGGGGATCGGCAGCCGAAGCTTGTGCCTGCATCCTGGCTCCCTCGCCTTCTCCTGCTTCCTCCCTCCCTCTTCCCTCGTTCCCGTCCCTCCTCCCGCCCGTCCCGTCCCTCCTCCTCCTCCTCCTCCTCCTCCTCCTCCTCCTCCTCCTCCTCCTCCCACTCCTCCTCCCACTCCTCCTCCTCCTCCTCCTCCTCCTCCTCCTCCTCCTCCTCCTCCTCCTCCTCCCCGTAGCCATTTTGGCTCAAGACGGAGCTTACCTCCCGTCCCGACTCCAGAGGCTCGAGGCCGAGGTGGAAGGGCAGCCCCTTCCCAAGGCCTGGCTGCCTCGGCCAAGCTTTCAGCAGTGAGCTCCTGCAGGAGCTATTTTTTTCGTGTGAGTGTGGTCAGCGGATGGCCCCCGCTCTTGATGACAAGGAGTGGGATGTTCTGCTCGGCCCACGCAAGCCAGAGTGGGCGTGTGGCTCGTGCACGCGTCTGCACAACTGGGCGTCGAGGATCAAGTGCGAGTGCGGGCGCTCGGCACCAGCCCACATTCGTGCACGTGCAGTCACTGCCCACAAAGTCGCGTTGCAACAGCTCGAGAGTGGTGGTGGCAAAGCCCGTGGTAAAGGGAAAGGTGGCGACAAGCCACAGAAAGGCGGTGGCAAAGGAGACAAGCTCGGTGCGCTGGAAAAGAAGCTTGACTCCCTCGTGGCATCGCTGGCAAAGAGTACCAGTACGAGTACCACGAGTACCGTACCTCAAGTTCCACCGTGGCAACGTGAGGCACAGCATAAGGCGGCTGAGACGGCGGAGGCAGCTCCAGACACTGACGAAGGGCGACGAGCTAAAGTTGCGGTTCAGGTCCAAGAGCTGGAGGCCTCCATCAAGTCTATGGCCAAGGATGATGAGTTCAAAGACATACGGGAGAGCATGGAGAAGAAGTTGTCCAGCTTGCGCGACCAGCAGAAGCAGATGCGGCCGCCTCAGACAGCTCATAGGCGTGCAGCCCAGGAGCTCAGCAAGGCGAAGGCGGCGATCGAGCAGATGTCGAAGGATCTGGTCGACAAGCGTGAGCAGTACGAGAAGTTGCGTGTATCCATCGAGGAGCGCGAGCAGTCGTTGGTGGCAAAGAAGGAGCAGCTGGTGGTCTTGCAGACGGAGTTCGACAGGACTGCCCAGCTGGTATCACAGAAGGGTGAACGTGGAGAAGGAGGCGAGCAAGGAAAAGCAGAACCAGGCTCAGTGTTGCTCCATGACGTCGACACCTTCAAGGCTGAGAATCCAGAGGCTGAGGCTTTCCTCAACAGCGATCTCTGGAAGAAGCTGCAGGAGCACATCCGCGTCCTGCCCAAGGAGGCCGAACCTGATGCTGGCATGGGTGTTGCGCCTCCTGGTGATGGTCAACGTGATGGTGGCGGCGGTGGAGCAGCCCAACCTGGTGCAGGTGACGGCGCAGCTAGCGCCGCGCGAGGCAATGATGCAGCCAGTCAAAAGCGTAACAATGAGCTCAGTGAGCTCTCGGAGGAAGAGCGGAAGAACCTGTGGGCACATTCCAACAGCTTCGAGGATTTCACTGCCAAGTTGGAGGAGCTCTACTCGGCTAAGCGTGCGCGTTTGGGGTGATGGTGACCTCCTTGCGCATGATGGTTGTACTACGTCGGAGGGGGTAGTGGTCAGCCAACACTCCCTTCGATCATCGAGGACCAATGTTGTTGGCGCTGCAGATGCTGAGCGTCCTCCTGGCGGCGAGGGGAGCGAGTGCGCCAGCCGCGCCTCCCCTGTCAGACCGACTTCTGAGGGCGCTGCGCCGATGTCTGCGCGCCCAGCCCAGGGAGCTTGTGCTCCACAGGACAGATATGATGCGAACGGTTCCCTCTTGCCTCTAGTGACAGGTTTCAGACCAGCTGCGTTTCCTCCCTCGCAACCTGAAGTAGGGCAGATCGCTGGTGAGCATGTCATTGAAACGTTCAATTGCAGTGGAGGCAAGAGTACGCTCAAGAAGCGGCTCAAAGTCACTCGAGCGTTAGTCGTGATTGTGCAAGAGTTTGGTCACGTGGCCGATCAGGTTGAAGCCATTCAAAGTTGGGCACAAGTGCGAGGATGGAGTCTTATGGCGTTGCCTTCCTGTCCCTCAGCAGGCAACGTGCCCAGTGCAGGTGTGGCTGTTTTCGTGCGCAGTGAGTGCGGTGTGCGCGCGCCACAGCTCGGTGTGCATCAGGTGTGTGAGCATCGCGCGCAGCACGTACAACTTGCTGGCCTACCCTACATCTTATAAGTATGTACCTGTATCCCAGCTTAGGCCCTCAGGGCAAGAACGCCAAGTTGATGGCAGCAGCAGGTGCAGTAGTTGAGAGTATTGACGGTCCCTGTATAGTTGGGGGTGATTGGAACATGTCTCCTGACGAGGTCGAGGCTTCAGGTTTCTGTAGTTTTGCTCGTCTCACCCTCGTCTCTACTAAGCTATACACTTGTCGAGGTGGTACGGGTAGCTCGATAATTGATTTTTTCGGGTTGAATGATCCGTGCATGCGTGCGTATAAACATGTTAAGCTAGACACGCGATGGGCGATCAGGCCCCATAGACCCGTGCAGCTCGCTATAGCCAGTCAGGGATATCGAGTGCAGCATCTAGTGTATACTGTTGCCCCTGCTCTTCCTATTTCCCCCCCTTTCGGTCCTCAACCCTCGCCGCCAGATTGGGGTCCTGCGAGGGGTTTGGTGGAGCGCTGTGTCGAGATGGCGGGGGATGAGAAGACCGATCCAGGGGTAGTGCATCACTTGCTTAGCACCAGTTGGGGCAAGTTTGCCCAGATCGCTGCACGGCATATCAGTACTTGCACTGGGGGCGCGAAAGATACCTTCGGCAGTTTCGGGCGCCAAGTTGCACCGCGCTGGGTCAATGTGGAATATCCCGTGCCAGACGACACTGAAAAATGTTTAATAGCTGATGGGTGGCAGTGGCTTCGCAACGCAGTCCAACACCTAGGCCAGTTAGCTGATTTAGATGACATGAATGAGCATACACAGCAAACGATGCTTGCCGAGCTGGCGGTTTTTCGTGATAATGACTATCCAGGGCTCGGTTTGAGCGCTCGTTTAGATAATTCGGTTCAGCAGGCCCGCAAGATGCTGTGTTCTGAGTTCTTTCGTGAGAATGTGGAAGAATTTCTCGAAGACATTGCTGAGGACTTCTCTGTGGCCGTCAAAGGTGCATCAAAAGAGATCCAGACCAGCTGGAGCGATTGGTGCAAGACTGCCAGCATGGGGGGAGCGCGGGGCCTTCATAGGGTCACGAAGGTTCGGAGTGTTGTTTTGCCTACGGTTGTGCACGACCCTAAAGGCCCCAGTGCTGATCCCCACAGTGTCGCGCAGCATGAGCTGCAGATTTATCGCAAGCTCTGGCGAGCGACCGCCTCCCCACCGGTTGCCTGGATTCCCGATCGGTCCAGTTTCCCGAGGGCGGCTCCGGGTGAGGTTCGTAAGGTGATCCAGAGTTTTTCGGAATCTACAGCTAGGTCCTTGGATCAGTTTCATCCGAGGCATTTCTTGTTGCTCGACGACGACGGATTAGATTTGCTAGCAGGTTTGTGGCAGTGTTGCGAGGCGATTGGCCTCTTACCTAAGCAGTTGCTGTGGGTGCTCATGCCAGTGCTGCCTAAACCGTCGTCTGGGCATAGGCTCATAGTGCTTTACAGCGGTATGTATCGCATCTGGCAAAGGCTGCGGCGGCCTATGCTAGGATCGCTTATGGAGGAGGTGGAGCGTGGGTACTGGGGGGCTAGTCGGGGGAGGAGTTCTGTGGACTGTGCCTGGGCACAGGCAGCGCGAGCTGAGGCTGACGTAGTCTCGCGCCGCTACAGTGTGCTCATTATCGCCGACTATTCGAAATATTACGAAACGATCCCCCTTGTGGAACTTCGGGACAAGTTTCTTGCGTTTAAAGTACCCACTGCATTTTTGAAACTCGTTTTCAATGTATGGAGGGCTCCTCGAGTGCTACGTCTCAGACAGCACCACTCTGAAGGGGTCGCACATGCCGAATTCGGGTTACCTGCAGGCGATTGCTTCAATGATATCAGCATCAAGGTGCATGCTGTGAAATCTTTCGATCAGTTTGTTGCTAGCCAGCCGACACTAGTCAATTTCACATCGTATATTGATGACTCGGGCATTCAGATTTCCTGTGGCCAGAGACAGAGTGCGGTGCAATTAGCAGTCGATGCAGGTCGTGCCTTTTATCACGCGAGCAGGCAGATAAATGCAGCAGTTAATGATAAAGTTGCTGTTGTTGCCAGCGATATTTCACTTGCACGCGACGTCGTGTGTGGCTTAGGGCTTGAGCCCAAGGTTGCGAAGCAATCGGTCACATATCTTGGCGTAGATGACAGTGCTGGTGCCAAGCGCTCTGCTGCTCGTGCGCGTGTAAAACAGCGGTCCCGCCTCTGGGGAATGAAGCTGCGAGTGAAAAAGATCGGCAGGTTTAAGTCCCGAGCTCCGAATAAAGAGGCCAAGAAAGGTCTCTCACAGGTCATTCGCACGGGTGTTGCTCCTGCTTCGTCGTACGGTTCTGAGGTTTTGGGCTTTTCGGATGCTGAGCTTAACACTGTGCGAAGGACCCAGGCTCGTCGGTTGCCGCCCTCCCATGGAGGGACCAGTGCCACGGCAAAACTCGTTTTGTACGGAGAGTGGGACACACGAGCTGCCGTTGGCCCTGCTCTCCAGTGGTGTCGCATGTTGTGGAATGCCCAGGTCAGTCCCAATCGATCCCTGATCCCTTTCCAGGAGTTGCTTCAGCTTTGGGAGCAGGCCAGGGCTAGCGAGGCTAGCGATTGGAAGTCCAGCCGTGGCCCCCTTGCGCGTGCCACGTTGTCGGCT